AACTAAAATAAAAATTGTGTGGGGGGGAATGCAGTAAACAATAACGCAATACCGCAACTGAAACGAATAATAAAAATGATAAACAGATAAACAAAAAAATAACACTAAAAACACATCCAAATAGGAAAAAAAATTAAAAAAAAAAAAAAAAAAATCCATTTAAAAGATCGCCTCAGACAACAGCTTCGCACCAGCCAGACGAGAAGAACCCTCCGTGAAACCTCGGATGCCCGTTGGGGTCGTCCCTTGGGGTATGCGGGTGGACGCTCTGGGCCGCATACCTCCTCAGGCGGGACTTCAGAGTGGCCGTCACTTCAGGGTACAAGTGGGAGACGTCGGTGGTTTCGAGGGGGTCGTCTGGGGGGAGAGAGATGAGACAGGGGTGAAGACTGGGATTTCTACATTTCTTTGTGGTGGTTGTGGTGGTGCTGGTTTGTGTGATAGGGGAAGCACTAGTAGTATCAGTAGTAGTGGAAATAATAGTAGTAATGAGAGGTAGTAGTGGTGGTGGTGGTTGTGGTGGTGGTGGTAGTAGTCGTAGTAGTAGTGTGGTGTTTAAGTTGTTGTTTGCTGTATTATTGTTGTAGTAGTAAGTAGTAGTAGTAGTAATAGGGCAATATCATTTGTCATAATAGTAGTTGTAGTAGTAGCGGTGTTGCGTAGTGGGGCAATAGTAGTCATAATACTAGTAGTAGTGGGTATTGCATTGTAGTAGTAGTAGTAGTAGTAGTAGTAGTAGGGGCAATAGCAGTAGTCATAATAGTAGTAGTGGTGGTGGTTGTGGTAGTGTGTGATGGTGTCGATGGTAAATTTGGAATATAGTTTTCCTTATTTATCTGTCAACAAGGGTCGAAGTGGGAGACCTTTGTGGATGCGAGGTCTGTGGGGGGAAGGTCAAGAGGGCTGTGGTGTTGTGAATTTCAGTTTTCATTGGTAGGGGTTGGCTGGTTATGACGGTGGTGGTGGTGGAAGTTTGCCGTTGGTGGTGGTGATGATTATGGTTGTAGTGGTGTTGATATTGTTGGTTGTGGCGGCTGAGGTGGTGGTGATGGTGAAAAAACTAATTCTCTCAAAAATACTGTAATTATAATTATACTACTAATCCTAATGATAATAACATTACCAACAACGCCATATATAATAATCACATAGAGAATCATCAAACATCGTCATAAAAAATTATATACACACCTGTTATACTATACAACCCAGCGTGATTCACAACTACAAGATTTACACTACTAATCCTAATGATAAAAGATGTAAACATTACCAACAACGCCACAAAAAATAATCACACTGACAATCATCAAACCTCATCATAAAAAAAACACTCATATACATACCCCTTATATTATACAACACAACGTGATTCGCAGGCATATTCGTGTACCAAGACGAGCAACAGTGCGTGGGTAGGAAGCCGAATTTCCCTCCCGCGGGCCACGTCTGAGGCGGCACCCACCCGTCGAACCGCCCGCCTCCGCCCACGACGAGCTTCCAGTGCTTCCTCCTAGAGTAAGAGAAAAAGCAGAATTATGGGGGATTTGAAAAGAAAAAAAAGGTATATGGTATATGGTCAAACGATATATATGTATATGCATATATATATATATATATATATATATTATTATTAGAAGAGATATAGATAGAGAGGAGAGAGAGAGAGAGAGAGAGAGCGAGAAAGATGAGGGAGGAGAGGAGGGAGGGAGGGAGGGGGAGGGAGGAGGGAGGAGGAGAGGGAGGGAGAGGAGGGAGAGAGAGAGAGAGAGGGAGAGAGAGAGAGAGAGAGAGAGAGAGAGAGAGAGAGAGAGAGAGAGAGAGAGAGAGAGAGAGAGAGAGAGAGAGAGAGAGAGAGAGAGAGAGAGAGAGAGAGAGAGAGAGAGAGAGAGAAGAGAGAGAGAGAGAGAGAGAGAGAGAGAGAGAGAGAGAGAGACAGAGAGAGAGAGAGAGAAGAGTAAGAGAGAGAGAGAGACAGAGAGAGAGAGAGATAGAGAGAATGAGAGAGAATAGGAATACAGAGAGATAGAGACAGAGATAAAGAAAAAAAGAAAGAAAGGGAGACAGAGAGACAGAAAGATAAAGAAAGAAAGAAAGAGAGAGAGAGTTTCCTCCTAGAATAAAGGAAAGTTCAGTGCTGAGGGAAATGTAATGAAGCAATGGTATGTGGGATTATGGTCAGATAATGGACGGTGAGTGGAGGTTTTTATGGTGTTTAATGAAGGGGGTGTAAAGTGTAAATGAGGTCTTAGAGAGAGAGAGAGAGAGAGAGAGAGAGAGAGAGAGAGAGAGAGAGAGAGAGAGAGAGAGAGAGAGAGAGAGAGAGAGAAGAGAGAAGAGAGAGAGAATGAAAGAAAGAAAGAAAACCGAGCGAAAGAAAGAGATAGATAGATAGATAGATAGAAAAAAAAAAAAGAAAAAGCATACCGTATGGCCCCCCTCAGCGGTCCCTTCCGCACGTTATAAACGAAGGACGTCCGCGGTGACTCCGAGTTGGTCG